ATATTCATGTGAGAAGTACCTAATAGTGTTCAACCACAACAAATTTTAGTCACGCTTGCGCCTTACATCTTTCTAAACTGCAATAAAATAACCCGACTGGGACATTTTGCAACTTCATGCCTTAACGCTATTACACTGGTTCTTTTGTTATCCATACAAAAACAAAAAATAAATAACAAAACAAAATTACGTTATTATACCAAAATTTTTTTAATTTCGAACAAAAACATTAAAAAATTGACAAAAATGAATATCAACAATTATAAAAACATCGTTAACTCCAATTTAAAAACGCTTCTATTAAATGTAAAGTAAAGAGTGCAATGTTCTTTACAAAGCAGAACTATATTCAGTGACAGTTGCGAGAAATTTAATCGCTCAGTATTTACGACAACATTCATTAACATACGAAATTCTATGTACATGTGTACGTATACTCTTTTTTATTCTGAACTTCTGAACTTTTCTGTGAATTTTCGCCAATGTCAACCCTTATAAATTAAACTCAACTACGTATGTATACCGGAAAAGTGGATATTCCTGGTAAATCTTTCAAAGTCGCACTCAACGCTTAAGCAGTTACAAACAAGTTTATCAAAAGGGGGTCTCTCATCCGAGACTACTTTCTTTCTTTTTATGAATTTGCTTTTTAAATAAAGGAAGTTTAAAAACTATTCTGACCGGTAACAGTGAAAAAAAAACTTCTTTCTGTTATTGAAAGTGCTTCGACAACTGATTCACTGATTCAAAAGCATGCAAAGGTGTACAGATCTCAATGGAGAATATTTTGAAAAACAATAAAGCGATTTTCGATGATTTATATAAAATGCAACTTTCGTATGCTGGCAATCGTATTATAACTGTACCCATTAATAACTGTTCAGAAATACATATCGTCACCTGAAATGCAAAATAACGTATCATCAAAAAATTCGAAATTGAGTGCCTTATTGATTACGCTTCATTACTTCAAATTACATACATAATATTACATACGGATGCGTGCAACTAATTAACAACGACCTATAAATTAAATGACGATTTCTGTAAAATTTTCAAATGTAAAAATACAATTTCTTTTTGAATTATCATCTATGAACGTATGGTCAGATTTAGCTGACAATTTTTTTTTTTTTTTAAATTCCGTTATTCTGAAATAGTTGATGCAATAGTGAGTAAAATGGTCGTGCATATAATTAGCAACGCGTGTTGAATTCTTAAGAAATTAGTTGTGTTCAGGTACCTAAATCTTTATATTTTTGTTGAAACCATTACGTTACCATTAGAAATTAAATAATTTAGTGAATAAAAATGAGTACGCACAGGTCTTGCGATAAGGACACTAGGCCTGTTATCGTACAGATGTACAGGGATGGGATATATTTCGGAGATATTGAAAAGACTCTAATTTTCGCAAAGCGGTTGGCTTTTAATTAATGCAGTTAGGTATTTCAACAAGAATAAAATGACAAAACAAGTTCCAAAAAATTATCGTCACAAGATGACAAAACAAATTCAAGTTGCACTTTTGGAGAAAACTCAGATGCACTATCTGTAGTTACCGTAAAAACACGATTACGCAAGGCAGGACTCATTGGAGGAGTTTCAAGGATAAAGCCATTACTCTCTGAACGCAATCGAAAGACCCGCTCAGAGTTTGCAAAAAAACACCCCCATTGGACAGCAAAAGAGTGGAAGTTTTTTTTCGATGAAAGCTGCAGGTCTTAATGCAGGGAGCTGGACCACAAATACACTAAGCTAACTTTAAAACATGGTGGGGGCTGCATAATGACTTGGGGTGCCACATCGTGGTGAGGTTTTGGGTTCAAATATGTTGCATTCATGGACAACGTAATGTTGCCATATCCTGATGACAATATGCCCGAAGCGTGAATTTACCAGCAAGATAACGACTTGAAACATACTGCGCATGGTACAAAACAATGGTGTCAGGAAAACTTGCTGTCTGTTGTTGTTGCAACGGCAGAACTTGCTGCCTCTATTAAAGTGGTTTTCACACATTCCGCATTTGAAGAAAAGAGTTCATTCCCAAAAAGTTGGGATTTCCAGGAAATATACAAAAAGGTTAAACAATAATGGAATAATATTCCAAAGGACATCTTGCAAAAGTTTAGTGGAGTCAAAGCCTACTAGATGTCAAGCCGGGATTGACAGTAATGGGTTTACAACCAAATATAAACTCGAAATAAAATATTTTTCCACAAAAAAAAAAATAACAAGCCTTGTTTATTAGTTGCACGACATATTTTTGGCCTCGATGTCATAAAATAATAATTTTATAAAGGTATTTTATAACAAAAAAAAATTAGCTAATTTATAATATCTAAATATGCACAATTTACCTTTAAGCCATATAGTTAAAAATTCTTTTTGGGAAAACCGATTTGAATTTTTCCTATTATCGTTGTTAATTAGTTGCACGCATCTGTATGTTCAATATTTTCAGGTTCTGTGCTCAGATAAAAACCAGTTTTAACCAACATTAAAATTTTGTTTCACTCATGTTCTATTTTATTTCGTGTTTCATTCATGCCACTGTAAATTTCCGAAAATTTTACGTTATTTTGCATTTCAGGTGACGATATGTACACCTTTCTTATAAGTGAGACGAAATTTTAAAATTGCTTGATCTTTCGTCGCTTTAATTATATGTATATAATGTTATATTATATGTTATAAGACGTAGTATTTCGAAACAATTGTCGATAATTTCAAAAAATATCAATATGGAATAGCTGTCGATCTCCGCATTGTCTATCTTTAAATCCCGTTCATAAACGTACTACCTAGAGCTATGGACTATAAGTCTCATTATTACACCATGAGGTCCTAATTTATTGAATTGATACTTTTTTAACATTAGATATTAATAAATATACATTTGCATTTTTCCATAATGAGTATATAGCAATTGATTTTTACTTACTATATCATTTTTGCCAAAGCTGCTTCGAAAGTGGGACTCATGTGCTACTTTTAATAATGATAAGCGTTTGCACTTGTAAAATAAAATGGATCCCGTTATCGCATACGAGTATATTAAAAAATTAAGAACATAAAATGTAATGCGATTTTTCTGTTATTGAAAATCTCCACAGTCTCCTTAAGTATTTAAAGTTTCGTAAGAAGACCACTGCCTAGTTTTCCATCTATGTATGTATGTCCTCTTAAGTATAACTTTTTTTTTAACTAAAAGTCATTTAAAAATAGGTGAACACTGTCGAACGCACGTTCACAAAACCAAATGTTAAAATACGCACAATTACAGATCAAACAGATGTAGCTTCTTATTTCCCCTAAATTAAGTTTATACAATGTTTAGTGTATAAAAACAATTGTTAAAGAGAAAAAATACTTATTGCTTTAAAACAAAACATATATACTGTCAGATAACTTCTGCCAGTGATTTCTAAGACGAGTTGTTTTTAAATTTGCATTAAGTAGCCGCAGTTATACGAGTGGGTCACACCGTTGCATAAAACGCACTGAAGTAGTAGTGGCTTTATATTATATGGTATATATAATAGTTGTGCAAAATCTTTCTCTTTTTTATAGTAAGCATTATATGTACATACAAATGTACATATACCCATACCCATATACACATACCCATTATATTTTTGCATAAACATTTAGCGATCATATGTATTTACATATGTGTAAAGTAATGCATTGATATGAAAATGAAAATATCAAAAGCTTTCTTATTAAGCTTTTTATACTCTCTAAGTATGTTGCACAGAGTATAACTAACAGCTTTGCTCACACTTAAAGATTGTAACAACATGAACTAAAAGAAATAGATATAATATACATACATATATAGTATGTGTGAAGATGTATATATAAAAAAAAGCTTTAAACGAAAGAACGAATTGATTCAGTTGTCTTTATAAAAATGGTACACATATAAAAACTTGAAAAGGTAAAATAACTTAGTTACTGTTTTACAACATAGCATGTTTTTGTAACATACCATAACACCGGCTAAAAAGGCACGTTATCATCAAAACGTCTACCTTACAGCATTTGATTTCCTCCTTAAATCGGGTATTGTAAAATTGATTGCGTGCATATCGGTCAATACGTTAAATTTTATAATTGGAAAAAGTTTCACTGTTACAAATAACATTATCTAATGTATTGTAAAAATTGTTTCAGTTAATGACTTCCTCTAGCCCTTAATAACACAATTTAATTTATTTTAAGCGTTTCTAAACATACTCGTTAAATATGTTTACAAATAGCAAATTGCAATTTCTCAATACAATGTTGAAACATGCTTAAGGCGAATTAGGATCAGGGAAAATGACTGATAAAGCCAAAGATAATAAAAATATCTGAGCTTATGAGCTAAAAACAAAAAAAAAAAAACGGAGAGAAGTGTACCATTACCACGAGGAGACAGGAAACTTGCATCAATAGCGTGGAAAATGCGACGTTTTTAAAATAAAACAACATAAATGCGATACTTTTGAATTTTAATTTGTTGTACAAATTCGAAGTAAAGAATCCTGTTTCAAAACCGCAAGATAC